AAAGTGTCCTATTTAGTTTCACCCATTCATAACTGGTTTAAAAGTTTGCTGTTTTTCCTATGCACAGCTGTCACCTAAACAGAATGCCAACAGTAGTAGCAGGCAAAGTACACAACACTAATGTCAGGACACAAGTTGTACTAAATGTTACAGAAAAGCAGGGGAAATTTGCTAAATTTTTGGCAGTGGGCACACATTTAGGACATAATCTACTTTCCTCTCATGCGCCCTAGCATCAGAAAGTGGTGAATTTAAGACCCACGCATTGCTCCAATGCTCTGATCTTACACAGCTGTTAGTTTGTATGGATCTAGAAGAAGGGGACCTTGAAACTGCTTGTTTGTTTTCTTTAAAAATGCATTTATATTGCCTAACAGGTGACAGTATTTTATAGTGGAGATCAACCAACAAACCTACACCTAAAAACATCCACATGCCCACATGCCAGACACCTCTACTGTTACACCTCATACATTGTACATCCGATTCTCATAATGCATATCAACTCAGGCTAGCGGGAAAGGCTCACTGTAACCTCAGTTAAAGCTATTGTTAGAGTTCAAAGCACAAACTTAAAAGGGTAACTAACAGAAGCAGAGTTAGAATGCCGCTTTGCTTATATAATAAATAAATGCCATACACATCAGAAAACAGCACTTTCTTTTCAGGCTGAACCGAGACTTAATATACATCAGCAAAACAAAACAAGGAATACTGAAATTCAATTTTACACACTGTTCAAAGGATCAGATCAATATCAGGGCTCAACTAATGACCATTATTTGGCATGGATTATTGAAATGAAACAAACAGATGATTCCATGTAAGCGTTTTGCTTTTTATTCAGCATGATTTACAGCTCATTTAACTAACAAAATAACTTGGCTCATGGTTTACACCTCATGCTTGCAACTAATGGTTAGTCTGTAGAGAGCTAAACCACAAACCCAGGTTTAGACCACACACTGAGCCAAACTATGAGTTAGCATGGTGTAGCAAAAGACTAGGGTGGAGTGAAATGGCCACAAACTCCTCTCCAGGGGCATGTACACTCCTGTGCTTGCATCAAGCCATGGATTGGCTTAGTGTGGTGTGAAAAGCAGGCTGATATGAACTCTGGAAAATACTGAAGAAAACCCAAGCTCTAATCTCATCGTGACAATAGGAGTGCTATAGCCCAAATTTCAAAGGCGACCTCAAAAATACATTGTGGAGTTTCCAGTTCGACAACATTTGCCCAGCCTCACCTCTTGCACCATGTAACACTTGTAGGATAGCAGCTTGGGATGGGCAATTTTGTATGTATAAGTGGCAGGAAGTGTAAGGGTTAATCGGCTTCTCCCCTCCCCTCACTCTACTACTTATTAGCTTTTCATGCTTTCATTTTCTTTTTTAAAAAACAGGAATGCAAGGCTGTTCGCTGGTTTTTCACTTATCGTCTAGATTGAACCAAAGAACCATCTTCTCTGCAGTATCTTTCTGTGTTTGCAGGGCAAACAGCAACCCTTAAAAGGGAATCTGAAAAAGTGATAAGGTCTGCATGTTGGTTTGGTGAACTGGAATGCACCAACCCCACGTACAAACACAGGAGTTGTGAACTTTCAAGTTTTGTGAAAGAATAGAATTTGCTCTCCCACAGAGCACCAGATTTATGCTCCAACATAAATCCTTATCTTAGATGTCAGATTGCATCTCAAAAGCAGCCCTTTCTGGGATTTCCCTCCAGATAAAGGCATTTTATCTCCTTACATACCAGAGAAAGAGAACCTCAGTCTAATTTATAAGCCATAGTGGCGAATGTTACTCCTTGCCCATATGCAACCGGAGTGGTTTCATGCTTTGGAAACTCTTTTATCATCACCAAGGCTTCAAACTCATATCTTTTCAACTTTTTGAGTTAGAAGTAAAGGGATACATTCTTTTTTTAAAAAGAAAAAGAATAGAAATATGCTCTGGTATATGCATTCCTGCACACTTGTGACACGTGGCCCATAAGGGTGTGTGGAGATAAAGGTCCAGACCGAGCCAGTTCCCCATCCCTGATACAGGAGGACAGGAATTGCTGTCATTGTCTTTGTTGTAATGGTAGGCAAAAATCTGGGACACAAAAGTGCAGTCCCCAAACAGAAACCAACACAATGAGAAGTAGATTTACAAAACATCAAATTGGAGAGACAAAACAGAATATAGTAAACAAATCCCAGAGATGTGGCCACGTTAGTCTGTAGCAACAATTCCAGAGAATGGTCTGAAGCTAAGCAAGTACAGGTCTGGTCACTGCCTGGATGGGAGACCTCCTGGGAACCACATGATGTTAATTCCATGAGGTGTGGTATAAGAAAATTAAAAAATACTAATTTATTATTATTTACATACAAGCGCTTTATGTATTGTGTTAAATAAAATGAATACATACTATAGCCCATGTTTTCATGCGACAAATGCCACTTAACATCTTGATGGGATAGAAACCTAGTATATTGATTTAAGTCACAGGTGTTTAAATTGAATTTATTGATATGGGTTAATTCTGTACTGGAGTTTCACTCTGAAGTTTCTTTGCTCAAGAATGGGCATGGGTACTCTCCTTATACCATGGCCATTAGCCAGACCACACAGTTCACTAGCCCTGCTTGAGTGCTTTTGCCTGGCCAAAATGTGTCCTTGAATTGTGTTGATGCCTGCCTGGATGGAGAGAGCCATATGCACCTGTGTGCATAGAAACTTCTGGCTTTTTCATGGATGGAATGCCATCTACTTAAGAACAGCATCTGTTGCTCCACCTGCTTTTTGCCTCTGGCCTGATTCTCACTGGCATGTGGCCTCTGGGAGGTTCCCTATATGGAACGCAGCCCCGTGAATGAAAAAGGTTACTCTTTCATTCATTTCCTCTTGGAAGCAATAAGAAGTTCAAGAAAGATGCTTGATCGCTAACCAGACCAAACAATTAAAAAAACAAAAAACTGCTAGCAATAACTTCCCTTTACCTGCACTAAAGTCCAACAGTGCTTTGCTTCACAGGACTGCTGCATAATTAATGCCAGTGACTGCTTAATGAGGAGAAACCATCAGGGCAGCCTATAGGATTTCATGTTCCTTTCCTTTAATTCTTTCTTCTTATAGAATCATAGAATTGTAGAGTGGGAAGGGACCCTGAGGGTCATCTAGTCCAACCCCCAACAATGCAGGAATCTTCTGTCCAATGTGCAGCTTGAAACCACGACCGTGAGATTAAGAGTCTCATGCTCTACCGCCTGAGAGTGAATTCCTGCTTACTGGCCTAACATAACAGCCTGACCATATATCAATATTGACAGTTACCAGGTAAGCATTAACCAGTATGCCTATTTCATTCATGATCTGAAACCATCTCGAAGCTGACTTCAGATCCTGGGTTAAGTGGGACTCTTGGTTAACTCAAAGGTCAAATCAGTTAAAATTGCTGCTGACAGAATAGTCAACTGCAATTAGGCCCAGGAGCCCAAATTTGAACTCTAGGGAGAGGGTGGGGAATAGAGAAGGGTGCAATCCTGCAGTCTGATCCAGATCTGTATGCTATTTATTACACTGCTCCTCCAAGAGCATCAAACAGTATGCATCTGTCTCGTCTCACACTTTTCACAGCATCTGCAATGGCCCACAGTGAGCAGAATGTCAAGAATATTAACACTGGCAGTAGATCCCAGTAAAACGCCTATCTAAGGAAGTTACACCATTAAGTTCAGGCACAAGTTCACAATGTAACACAGGGTGGTGCAGAATTTCTTACAAAAATGCAAAGGAAACTCCTAGAGATTCACTAAGGTGGCACAACAGAATCAGAAGGGACATCAGAGCAATTCTCTGCAGCCTGCAACCAAGTACAGCAGCATACCTGAAATATAAGCTCACAAATGAATGCCTGACAGTAATACTGGAACAGCTATGAAATCCAGATTCTGAAACTTCACCTGATTCCTTAACGAAATATGTATTTTTGCAGCCTGATTATAGCCCTCACCTTGATCCTAGGATAGTCAGAAAACAATGAGACCAAACCAAAGGCACAACACCACTTGAACCATGAAGCATATTCAGAAGATAAAGGCCTGCATCTAAAGCACTAATATTACGACAGCTGCAAGCCGAGTACACTTGCTTAGGAGTACCTCCCAGGAAGATCAGTGTGGGTTTCTTCCTAGTAACACAGATAGGAAATGTGGGGTGAATTCTGACTTTTCCGTTGGCCTGTAAAGGGTGTAACAGCTAATTAAAGAAATAAGGAACTAGAACTGTCTCAGAAAGGAAATAAATTGCATTAGTGTCCCTTGGCACAGGAACAGACTGAGCACTATTACGCAAAGGGGAAAAAATGATATCACATTTATGAGTCTCCTTGAAAAAGGCAAAAAGCAGAGCGGTATCGTGAATGCTAATGAAGTTTGGTGTACTTCCTGGATGAGGGCAGCGAATACTTCCTGCATCAAATGCCACATTTCACCTTAGAATTTCTGCACTTCAATCAAGCATCTAAACTTCACAATGTCAGGCTCTGTTCATGGGTGGGAGAGAGCTAGCATTTTAAAAGCACCATGGTATAACTCCCAAATGCAACAAGTCAACTAGAGGGCAACAAGCTGGCAAAGGCTGTACCAAAGATATTTTTTTTAAACTAAACCTAAAATTTAGCCTTTTAAAATTGTGTGCCTTGTAGACTTTTTTCCAGTCACGCTCACGCTAATGCAGGGATGTGGAAACTGTGGACTTCCAGATGTTAGGGGACTACAGCTCCCATGATGCTTGATCCCCGACCATGCTGGCTGGGGCTGATGGGAGTTGGAGTCCAAAAGGATCTGGAGGGTTTCAGGTTCACCAACACTGCTCTAATGACACAATACTCATTCTCTTGTCATTTATGTCTCCTGTCTCTATACTCGGCTGCCAACACACAATGATACCACAGAATTGTTCTTAATTCTATGTTTACAAGAGGGTTTCCTTGATTGAAATAAGAATGTTACCAGTAAAAAGCTATTTTGTCCCCAAGTTTATTCTCGTAGACATTTCTGTCCAATAGATTGTAGCAAATGTTGGTTGTAGCCCCTTTCATCCATTCAATAAAGATTTTCCCTTTTGTGACATCAAAGTTGTACTGCAGAAATGGTCCAGTATGTTGGCTCCTCCAGTAAAATTCTTTGGCAATGTCTCCCCAAAATTCTGCAAGATAAAAAAGATAAATAAATAAAACACCACATTCAAACTTAAGACCATTCTATATGGTTTAAGGTACCAACACAAGCATGCACGTAGCCAAGAGTGGGCAAGGAGGGGCAGCTGCTCCCTTAAATCAATAAATATCAATAAAATACATAGCAAACTGAGGTTCTTCCCCCTGCAACAAAAGGCCTGCCTGCTCCCCTAACAAAAATCCTGGCTATGGCCATGAACACAAGGCAGATGCTGAACTGGTTTTACTTAGGGGAAAGACTTAGGCTGAAATCCTACAATTGCCTGGAAGTAAACCCCACTGAAAATAAGTGGAACTTATTTCTGATTAATATGCATAGGATTGTGCTACTCTGGCAACTCTCATGCAGAATTTAATAATGCCATCCTCAGCATCTGGGGTTCATTCACTTGCCCATCTTCCAAAGTGATACAGGCCATCATCTGCCACCAATCCCCTTTCACATTCTGCATGACAAGCAGCACAGTCTCCATACAAAACAAAAAACAAAAAACACACACCCTGGCACCAGAAATACAGGAAAGTCAGGAGAAGGTACATTTCACCCTCTCAGGACACTCTGCGAGAGACTAAAGCAAAGAAACTTCAAAATAAAACTGCTAGTGAGACTGCTAGATTACAATATATCAAGAGATTCAAAGCCATCACTTGAGGATTGAACCATGACGATGGATTTCTCACATACTACGCATGCTAATTGGCTGACAGATGTGGGTATCTGTTTATCAGCGACTGTTTCATGAATTGCCATTGTTAATTACTTATCATCAGATATTTTTCAGCATTTATGTTTTCTGTTACTTTACTTTACAATTCCTCCTCCTCATCGTACACCCAAAAAACCCCCCAGATATGCATTACCTGTAACTAAAGATAGCACTTTTAGCATCTGGAAAAATGGACTGTAGTCCATACAAAATTATGCAAGAATAAACTGGTTAGTCTTTAAGGTGCCACAAGACTCTTGGTTTTAATGCAAAAGATGAACACAGCTACTTCTCCTCTAGAAGCTGTTACTAGAAAACTCTTTTACTTAATCTATGTTGACACACACATGCTTTAGACAAGACTTCTTCTGTTTTCATGCAGAAATACTGTATATGAAACATCCCCACACGCTAAAGGGCTAGTTAGTTTGTTACAAGAAAAACCTCCCAACCTTTGGGTGCCTTACTGGGTGTGGGAGAAGCATGTTTTAGTTGACAAAAACTTATTTCATAAACAGTAAATCTGTTAGCCTTTAAAGCTGATACAAGGCTGGAAATTTCAAATACAAAAAAATCAAGAGTTTGTGACCGAAAATAATGTCCAATAAAATCCTGATTAAATAAAGTGTCTTTCACAGTCACTAGAAACACACCCCAACACTGTCTGTGTCAGCTTGAGAAATATACACAAAATTTACACAAGAGCAGCATTGATACATTAGATTGTATCTTGGCACAGTATACCACAACTTCTGTACTAATGACACAAAGGGCCCCTGATACTTCCTCATGCTGAAGGTTAGAGAAATGTCACATATGGAAATCTGCCAAACACTACTTCTTTGAATATACCTGGGTGCTTGAGGCATAAACAGACAGACAGCACTTCAACCCAGTAAATTTTAGATCAGTTGGGGTGAATCCAGGAATGCTTGTCCATACTATATTGGAAGCTGCTTTATACAAAGTCAAACCATTGATCTGTCCAGAACAGTATTTCCTATACTGATTGGCAGTTGATCTCCAGGGTTTCAGGTGGGATGTCTTTCCCAGACAGGGATTGAACCTAGAACATACTGCATGCAAACCAGATGCTGTACCACTGAGCTAAGACACTTCCATAGTCCGTCAGCCCCTATTTGCCTTTTTAAAGTACACTGCTGTAACCATGCAGCTGAGCACATCTGAATTTGTGACTTCTTTAACAAAAGCATAATTATTGTATCTGCATAAAACAATGAAAAGACAGCAGCCACCTAGGTAGACCACTTCAAGTAAGAGCCTCCTAGATATTATAATTATTCCAAACTGTACAAATATAAATTGCACCTATCATTTTTACTGCTCACCACTGGTTCACCTGTTCTCCACTAAATCAGCACTACAATACTGTATTTCATATTGCTATAAAACTTCAGTACTCCATAAACACTGACAACTTTATACTCACAGAACTCAAAGAGATAAAAATAATTTCTCTCTCTCTCTCTCTCTCTCTCTCTCTCTCCCTCTCCTGTGTTAGAAGTCTTGTAATAAGCATTCAAATAAGAGGCTTGGGATAATGAAGCAAGGCCAGAATGCAGCATCATTTATTATCCAAATTGGTGTCAGCTACACAACTTGCCCAATCTGACCAGACATTTTCACATGTATGCATCCTGTTGAACTAGTCCAAAAGCCCCAATAGGAAGCAAAAGTGCCATACTGGCTAGAACTGACCCCAACAAGCATGCATTTGTATCTATGAGAACACTGATGTGGTTCTGTGGTCTGATTCACAATTTCAGCGATCCTTCACTTTTGAATTGTCAGATTGCCAAATGCTAAATGCAAAAATAGTAAGGCATACAATTTGCACGTGAAAGATCTCAGGTTCAGTCCCTGGCATCTCCAGGTAGGGCTGGAAGAGTTCTGGAGAGCAGCTGCCAGTCAGTGTAGACAATAGTGAGCTAAATGGACCAATGGACAATTTTGGTTGTGCAACAGGGCTGGGGAGTGGACTTTTTGCAGTAAGGAAAGTGATGGGGAAATGCACTGAAAAGTGTGAGATAATAACTGCTTGGCACAATGTCAGATAACCTTCCAGCAAACAAATCATAATGAATTTTCAGTTGCATAACTTCCCCACAAACTTTATGCAAAAAAGATGAATCCTCAGTAAACAGGCTGCCTAAACCCAACCTCAGTTGGCAGTGAAGAAGGGAAGTACTGCTGAAGTTATTGCTATACAACACTCTCCCCCAGATGACATGGTGATACAGTACTAACATTTTCCCAAGGATTTTTCCTCTACAAATAAAACTCAAATGTTGTTTGCCTTGTCTGTCCAACTACTACCACAGTTCTGGTATCCAAAGGCAAACCAGTCCCTATACAACACTAGGAGAGTGCCATATATCCCATGCAACCCTCTTGGAAGCCCCAGATCCAGCACAATATGATTCAGGTCCTGTTGCTAGCTAACACAGCCCAGGAATTTGCACAATATGGACCCAGGCCTCACAAATCACTCTCTCACTCTCACTCTCTCTCTCTCTCTCTCTCTCACACACACACACACACAGAGCAGAATTGCAAGAATATTACCACCTTCTTCCACTACTCACAGAGGGCTTAACATGTGTAACATCTAGCCAGTGATCATATTGGGGGGGGATTAGCCCAGGTGTTGTGCATTTAGCACATACCCCTGACTGAATTATCAAGCAATGTTAGCTCAGCGCCGCACATTTCCACAAGGGAAAAGTCTGCTGAGCTTGGCATGCTTGCAAAAGCAGTAGCAAAGCTCTAAGAATTTACAAGGAAAACTCATGTACACAGTTGGGCATCACCCAAACTGCTAACACAGTACTGTCTTCCAAGTAACACGGTCGCTTTCTTACAACACAGGACCCCTGGCCTCTCAAGTATTGAGCTTAGACGCATCCCTTGCTTCAGTCTCCAACAGAAGTTCAACAGCAGAGGAGGACTCTGCCTTGTATCTTTGCGGAAACTAACTAGCACGACACTAATGCTTGCGAGCATTAGCATGCAACAGCCTTGACTTGAGGCTGGGGTGCCCACGAAGGCTGCCCCACCGCGTGCACATTCGCGGGGGGACCGGGACCACCCGGGCAAAGTAAGACGAGCAGGGAGATGCGTCGGTTGCCGCCACACCTGTTACTACCCGAAGGCTCCCGAATGGAGCACAGCAACCTGAGCAGCCCGTCCAGAGGGTACCACCCACCGGGGCAAGCAAGGGCACAAGGCCCCGAGGGACTCCTCTAAAAGCTGCGGGCCGAGCAGCGGCGCATATCAACAAGGAGCTGGCGCCGAGTCGGAAAGGGCGTGGAGGAGAGACAGCCATGCAAGCCCACGAGGAAGGCGAAGATGTGGACCCGGACCAAGTCGCCCTTTGGGAAACTTCGCACACGGCGGCGGCCGCTCTCCCCCTGCCAAGCCGCCGCCTCCTCCCCGCCCTTGGCACGGCGGCCGGCGAGCGGCACGGGCCTGGAGGCTGGCTTCGAAGCTTGCCCGGGAACCTCGCGCCGCGCCGCGCCGGGGCCTGGCCCCTCGCTCACCCTGCGGCTCCTCCACCGAGCGGCTGTAAAGCTCCCGGTACTTTTCCAAGGAAGGCACATGCGCCTCCCGAGCCAGGTCCGGGGGCGCCCGGTACACCCCGCCGGCGGCGCACTTCTCGTCGGGCAACACCATCCCGTCGGGCTCCAGCCGAGAGAGACAGCGAGACGGCGCTGAAGCGGCGGGCGGCCAGCGAGTGAGCAGGCGGCGGGCGCTTCGACTAGGAAACACCGCTGTGGCACCGCCTCCTCCAGCCTCAGGAGGAGGAGGAGGAGCCGGGGAGGCGCCGGCGGGAAAGGGAGGGAGCCGCGCCAAGCTCCGCCCAAGCCTGGAGCCGCCCGCCGCTGTTGCTGCTGGGAGGCCGGCCTTGGCCTCAGGCCGCAGCTCCCGACTGCTCCTTTGCCTCAAACAGAGGTGAGGCAAAGCTGGGTTCTAACCTCCACCCAGTTCACTGCCCGACCTTGAGCCAAGTATTCCAGTTACGGCCTAGCCTAGTTTTAAGGATGAAATGAGAGGAAGTAGAGCCACGAGGCAGTGTCTCTGGACACACGTGACAGCCACAGGTAGGTCCTGGTGGAACTTAGAATTTGGACCGGATTGGGCTGAACGTTCTCTTCTGTGGGTCCTTAAAAGTGTGCTCGACCATAAAGAGAACAACTTTGAAACATGAGATACTCCTTCTGCCCTCCAAAGCATCTTCAAATGCCCAAAGACCAAATTAGAGGTAGCTTGGGATAGGATCTTATTTAAATAAGAAGTTTCAAAGGGAGCAATTCTAATTGTCAGGAGTTAGGGGAGCGGGTTACCCCTTCCTATATGCTATTTTTCTAACTGACCCCTCCTCACAAGCTGCAGCGTACAGCTGCCACCCCCATGCACAAAACCGCCTTCGATACAATGATAACAAATCTTGTGGCACCTTCAAAGCTTTCAAACTTTAGGCTGCAGCCCTGTGTATATTTACCTAAAAGTAAGTCTTGCTGAATTGAAAGGGGCTATCATCTGAGTAATTATGTACAGGACAACATTGTTTTAGCATAAGATTTAATGAACTGGAGTCCATTTAATCGGATTTATGAAGTGAAGTCTTCAGTTGGCAGGTATATATGCATATCATAACTGTCAACTTTTTCTTTTTCTTGCGAGGAATCCTATTTGGAATAAGGAAATTTCCGTTTTGAAAAAGGAAAACGTTGACCGCTATGAAGCATATGGGTGCAAAGAAAAATATGTAGTTTTAAAGATATCACAAGAATCTCTTTTTTACTGCAACACCTGAGTTGGTTCACACCTCATGCTTGCCAAACTATAGCTTAGCACAAACATGCAAGTATGAGGGTTTCTGGAGAAGAGATGGCCACTGTGCTCCTCCCCTGGTCCTCCTACTTATGCACTACCGCAAGCTAAGCATGGTTTGCCTTAGCACGTGACGTTGTCCAAATCCAGGTTTATGGTTGGTCTCCTCCAGCAAGGAGGATGGCACATTAAGCCAAACCATGACTTGGCTAACAGCAGCACAGCAGCAGCCAGACTAGAGAAGAAGCAGAGCAGACAGGATCTCTTCCTCTCCAAGAGTCTTCAGGTTCATGCATTTGCACTAAGCCGTAGTTTAGCACTGCCAGGACTCTTAACATAGAGTAGCTGGAGGATAGGTGCTCAGAGGCCAGAGAAAGAACTGTGCATGGAGGGGGTCTCCCATTTGCTGTTCTTTAGGCTTCCTGAGAAATTATCCTAATCAAATGTGCTGTGGCCTGGAACTGTGTGTGTGTGTATGTGGACAGCAGCAGAGTGAGACACAGACTAAGGAAGTTCAATCAACCTTGGTGCCTTAACCCGAGGTACCACTGTAATGGTTTTATTGTGCATTTCTGTAACATTTGTTGTTTTAGTTTTCTATACACCCCACTTAAGTAAAATTTTGTATATTAATCGGTCTACAAACAGTCAAAATATATAAAGTCCTGCTGAGCCTCTCCTGCTGTTTCTGCCATGGGAACATTGCTAAATCATGAAAAAACACAGCAAATAACCCTTTCAACATTGAATTTACTGCCTAGCCAACAGAGAGACATTTAAGGTTCATAGCACAAAACTAATGTAAAGAAATGGATTAAAAATAAATAAATGCAGCCTCACATTTAAAATGAAAAACACAACAGCCTTACCATCAGGCAGAGTTCACTGATGAGGCAAGCACCTTGGGCAACAGCAGCCCCCAGCCACTCCTTTCAGTAGGAAGATAGAGCTGTGTTTGGGGAGTACTGCACTCCCTAAACTAGCCTTCAGGTGTCTTGGAGGATGCTATCCTGTTGCCAGTGTTGGAGTAAGATTCAGCTGCCAGCTGGGATGGAGAGAAGCATCACATGGCTTTTGGCAATAAGGAAAGTGACAGGAATATGTAGTGTGGGATAACACTTGCTTTGACACAAGTCTAGCCTCCCCACAAACAAATTGGAGTGAATGCTCATTAAATGGCCAACATCATCTAAACTCCCTCCAGACAAATAAGAAAGAATGCTCAATGAACAGGTTGTCTGGCAGCACCCTCTGTCCAACATTTCAATGAGGCTGGACCCAGGAATTCACATTTGGCACACTGCGCCTGAGAAAAGATCATTCTCTCCAGAACTATGACTCAGCAATGGCGTGATTCACATACAGGACGCAATTCAAAATCATACCACCTTTCTTTCACAATGGAGAGCCTGGCACCAGCTTCCTAGCAGTCAAGGCCAGGTTAATGCTGGACAGTAGTAACCTGGAAGTTAGGAAAGTTCATTGACATCTTCTTACCAGCGCTTCATAGCAGAGTGCTATACTAGGAGGTCTTAAACTGTGATCCATGGAATGCCAGTGGTCTGTGAGCCTCATTCAGCTGGTCTACAGTGTGTCTGTGTATTTGTGGTTGAAGACTGGAGATGGTGCATCCATTGCATCAAAATATTATGCAAATATTAATATTATTATATTTCTTATCTTGTATTACAATTTGAATTCCATGGAACACAATGAAATAAAATAAAAGAAGTATCCAGCACAGAACATAACAATTGCTATGGAAAGGCAGAACAATAGTTAAGGGGTCTGCCAAATCCCTCAGTAAATTTCAAGTCGTCTGTGGTGGCAACAGTGGGGAGTTTGAGGAACACGGACCTGTACTTTGGCATGGTGTGATCCCCTCCTTGTCTTCTTGAACTACAAGAGCTGCCAGCTGCCATTCTCCAACTTTTGGTTTCCAGGGGAATCGTCTGTTCAGCTTTCGAAGTGATATATGTCACCTGTGCCCTTCTGCTTTCTGCACAGACAAGCAGGTCAGGGACTGGGCACCTGTGGTGGTGTGAACAGGAAAAAACAAGCCACTGACTGAGCCCACCAGGATCTTTGCACATTCCCCTCCAAGTTCTGTCCTGAGGCCAGCTCACATCTGGATATGGGAAAGGGCTCCTTCTCTACCCACTCTAATGTGACAAAGAAACAACCCATATGGCAATGCCAAAGCCTTTATTGAACAGCATCTGGAACAGATGAGATCATAAAAAAGCAAAGGCATGGGTAGGATTGCCAAGTCGTCTCTTGATTTGACAGGCATCAGAAGAGTATTTGCCGTGTCCCTCAAGTCACCGGAAGCAGGTTAGGAACACTTTTCACAGTATAGCTGTCTGACATGGAGCATACAAGGGTACAGAGCTTGCCTGGAGCAAGTAGGTCAACAGCAGCAAGAGGGAGCTCAGGGCAAATGCACACCATACATTTAAAGCACATCCAAGCACATGACTTCCCCCAAAGGATCCGGGAACTGTAGTCTGTTAAGGGTGTCAGGAATCATAGCTCTTTGGAGGAACTATAGTTCCCAGTATTCTTTGGAGGAAGTCATGTGCTTTAAATATGCATTGCATGTGCTTTAAATGTATGGTGTGGAACTGCCCATTGTCACCATTGCTGGTCAGAGTTTCTTGGGGAGAGGGATTGATAGTTAAAGCACTCTGAACTATAGCTCTGTGAGAGAAATAAGGGTCTCCTGACAGCTCTCAGCAGCAGTAATAAACTATACAGTTACCAGGATTATTTCTAGGAAGCCTCCTTGACCGTTTACAGTGGCATGATACTCTCTTGAATGTGTAGTGCAGACGGGGCCCTGCTGGAGGTGTTGAGTGACATCACATTCTAAGCTCTGCTGTCATAGAAGGAAGTGGGCACAGTTAAAAAATAAAATAAAATCCCCTCCCACTGACTTCCATGGGAAGGAAATTACATACACCAGCTCTTTACATGTTGCAAAGTTGTGCAGTCAGTGTGAATGTGTTGTTGCAATGAAGGATGTGACATAACTACATTATGCCCATGACGCACTCACATCTCCACCCGGGTTATGCTTGCTTTGTAGCTGTTACTTCACTAGTAGAATATGCCAACAAGAGGGCTTTTTGTTGTTGCTGCTGGAATACCACAAGAGTTCCATTGGCATATTATTATTATTATTATTATTACTACCCTGGGTGGCTTCTAGCATATACAAAAACATAGTAAAGCATTAAACCTTAAAAAGCTTTCCTATACAGGGCTGCCTTCTGCTAGCTGTATCATTCTACTGGCATAGCTCTGTCTCTACCAGCAGAGTAGCACTTATGCTACTTCCCTAAGGCAGGTCAGCCCACATTAACTGCAGCATAACATTGTGCCTTTACACCATAAACCTAAAACCATTATGTGGTAGTACATTCCACTTAAATAAATGGGTCCTCTTCCAAAGTAAATATATTTAGGCTCAGAGTGCCATTCTCTTTTTAGCAGATGAGAAGCTTTTGCCTGGAGATAACCTTACTATGTTCAGCCAAACACCTTGGCTAAAATAAGCCTTGCCTAATATCACACTACATTTTGCAATAAGCTGGCCACAAATTATTAACAGGGAAATAACTTGTCCTGGGATTACACTTACATTTTTTTTCTTGTTTGTTTCATATTTTTCTTCCAGGAGTTAAGACAATTTAATCTAAAAAAGAGATTTCTGTCTGGTCTGATGTTTTTAGCTCTTTTTTATTGTTGTTGTTGTTGTTGTTGCTGCTGCTGGCTGTGCACTGTTTATTACAGCTGTAAGCTACAATAGCATGGATCATGAATTGTCTTCATAATTTTTTGCATATCATTTGTGAGAATTGCAGAATATACAAGTCACTGGGTCACCCCTTCCTGTTAACTCCTTCCTTTGCCTGTCAATTGTGATGCTGCAGATTCCCAAAGCACCAATCCTGATTAATTC